TTGTTTTATCTGTGCTCCTTAAGCACTATAATAAACCGCACTTAAAACGGGCTTATTTTTTAGGATTGATTACAATTATTCAACTAAATAATGGTGCGGTAGTTTGGCGAAAAAGTGTGTCTTTTTTGACTTACTAAAAGGATGCCCCTCCCCCTAGAAGAGTTTTTTATTTTGCTTGCCAATGATTTAAAAAAAAATTTTGATTTAAGATACGGGCGTTAGATAAATGTTTCTTGCATAAGAAAAATTATATTTTTTTTTTCATTACTTTATTATCATATAAATTGAAATTGAAAAGCATATAATAAACTTAATAATACGTTAATTAATTTTTGATTTTCCAATAAAAAAAAAAAGGAAAATCACTATGTAAATTCTTTCTTATATACAATTATATTTTATTTTTTTAAATAAAAGTATTGATAGTATTAAATAATACCATTTACAATTTTATAACATTTAAAAGCATAATAATCACATTTACAAAACAAAAATACATTAATTAAATTTGATATTCATTTTCAATAAAAATAATCGAAAAGCATAGCTAATAAATTATATTCATAATAAAAAGGATCAAATAAAAAGGGAATTAAATAGGATAAATCTTGTAAGGGGAAGATTTGAAAATTGTAAAATTATTAAAGAAAATAGAACAAAACAAAAAGTAATTTATTTATGTTTTTATTAAATCCAATTAGCTAATAAGATATTTTAAAATTCTGATTTATATTTATTAAAAAGACTCTCTCAAAAAGATTTTATTTAATATTTTAAATTGATTAGCATATACAAATAGTTTCATTTTAATAATAATCATCTCTTTTTAAAGTAATTTTGGTTATTATCTAACTATTTCTTTTGATCGATAGTGCTCTGAATTCTTTTTTATCTATGTTAAACTTCAGTTCTGTATTTTGTAGTTCGGCTTTAATGAAAAGATACTGTTTTTGTGTGAAAAGGGCTAAAACCTTACGATTCATTGTCAAGAATTCCACTCTGTTTGTATCGAAATTATTTATTCCTGAAATTATAAACTTCATTACTAAATTTTGTATAAATCAACAGTTTAGGTTTCTTTCTAAAAATCATTTTGGGTAGGTAAAGGTTTAAGTAAAAATTTGATCTATTTATTGGCATTAGATTTAAATGGACTATTGCTACTACTTGTTTTCGTATTTTTAGACAATGAACTATCTATTCTCTTGATTTGAACTTTTTAGTTTTTTTCTACTGATTTTATATCTGGTAACAAGCTATGTAAAAATAAAAGATCATTATTGCTATTTTCTTATCTTTCTATACTTTAAAGAAGTATAGGAGAAGCATTTGTAGAGGAAAATTCACTTTATTTTGATTTCTAAATTTATTATTTTATCTTTAAGAAATTTAATAAGTTTGATGTTTAATAATATGGTGAAGAATCTTGATTCTCATCACTTAAATCGGTTTTTGTTAATTTAGATTGATTATCAGGGCAGCAGAGATATTGTTACCTTGATATTTTATTATTGCTTTTCAAATATGAAATAAACATCAAAACCTAAATAAATAGGATAGACTTTTATTTTAAAAGCCATAGATCAAACATTTCAGTAAAATTTTGTGGAATCATCTATCTTTTCTCATTTATCCAAGGATGAAGTAAAGCCTAATAAACACTGTATCTTTTTGTAGAGTCAAACTCAGTCATTCTTTGAAACAATGATCTCTATTAACTATATTAAATGAACTTAAAATACCGATCCATATTTTGAAAATTATTATCATTATGCATATTTTCCATATTTTTAATTAATTAATCTTGATTTTATCCATTAATAAAATATGGATGTAAACCCTTATTGAGTAATTGATACATTATAACTCCTACACTCCATACATCTACATTCTAATTAAATAACTATCTTACTTTATTGTAAACTTTCCTTAACAATAATTCTGGAGCCATGTATGTTATTGTACCACACTTTTTCTACATTAAAGCATATCGATTATGATGAGAGCTCAATCCAAAATCAGTAATTTTAATAACATCAGCTTCTTCTCCAATAAGAATATTGTCTGGTTTTAAGTCTCTATGAACAAAATGATTATCATGTATGTATGATAGAGCTCTCAAAATTCCTTAGATAATTTATTTAATTTCTTTTTCTTCAAACCATTAATTCTATTTTTTTTTTGAATCCATCAACTTTTATAAAGACCCTCCATTTACTATTTCCATTTCTATCAAAATTTTAGTATCTGTTCTTTTAATATCATAAAATTTGACTATGTTTTAATGATTCAATTATGAAAAAATAGCAGCTTCCTATTCAAGAGCCTCAAATCTTTTTATGGTTGCTTTTGAGATGATCTAAAAAATAGATTGTGTGGAGCTATTTACTTTTACTGCTACCAATTCTTTAGTATTATTATTGACTGCTTTTACAACTATTCCAAAAGCTCCTTGTCCTAAAGTTTCAACATAAGAATAATAATCGCTAAATCTAGTCTAAAGATCATTCTAATTTAAAATTTCATCCATTCTCTTCTTTAAATAAATTATTATATATATTTATTCATAAAGATATACTTCTATTATTTTATTAAATTTATTCTAGTCAAGAATGAAATAAATTTTTGCACTTGTAATATTTTTACGAATTCTAGGTAGACTTGTTTGCTTGCTTAAATTTACTATAATAATATCAATCATTTTTCTTTTCATCTTTATTTCCAATAATATTTTCTGTATATTCATCTTCTGTTATGGTTCCATAAACAATTTTATCATCAGGGGCCATCTGATGTATTTCAGTTTATAATTATTCTAATGAAACAGTTGCTGATCCTAAAAACCTAGAAAATTACATCATACCCCTAGATTTTGGTTTAGCTTAAGATTCATGATATTTCCAAGCAGAAAAATAAATTTATTCAAATGTACTGTTGACTTTCATATTTTCATTCTTAAATAAAGATTCATAAATGGCGCTCACACTTTGAATAGTTTATTTAAATGTTCCTTGTCTTTTTTATATCAATGCTTCACCTTCTCCAATATCTTAAACATATTACATTAAATGGTAGACGGAATCAAATTCATAAAGACTAAATTCAATTTCATAAAAAATTACTTTCTTTCAGTACATATTGTAGGAAGAGTAAATTTTAATCTTGTTAACAAATTTCCCATTTCAGTAATAGAAATGAAAGGTGACACATGCTATGAAACACCTCCAAATCTTTCATTCTCAGCCAAAGTGTAAGAAATTCTCAATTCTTAAAGAGTATCGTTACCAAATATTGATCCAATCAATGTACCATCAGATTCTAAACTGTCTAACCATCTTATTAAAACTACTTGCAAATCATTTACCCAATGTAAATTCATATTTGAAACTATTAACTATAAATGATTATCTTAAAAAGGCCAAAAATCTTCATCACAACAAATAGGAATTACAAGTGTTTTATTGTCATTCTCGTTCATTTCAAAGGCCTTCTAAACTTTAAACTTCTCTTTCAATTTTTCATTTTTTAATATATTGTTTATGCTTTGTTCCAAAAATAACAAATCAATATCACATAAATATATAATTTTCGGCTATAAATCTAGGATTATTAAAATATAGACTATTAGGTATATTTTCTAAGAATTGTGCAACACCCTATCCAAAATAGGCCACATTACCGTCATACTGTTTTCGGATAGACGATAAATTGTCAGTCAAAGTGAATGATGATTGTTTTAGAAATATGTTTTCTATATTTTTTCTTAAAGCATATTCTCTATTTTTAATGTGTTTTTCTCTATCAAATATTTGTTTTGTTCTTAAAGTATTTTGGTTACTAAAGTAGCTTCTAATTTTGAAAAGCATCAATTGTTTGCGTATAATGATGATAATAATATTAATAAAAATTTTATTAGACAGAATATTATTAATCTCTTTTAACTAATTAATAAAATAGATATAAATGAGACTATGAAATTCTTAAATTCATGTTCATTCATGGAATAAGAAGAATGCAAAATACATTCAAATAGATATTTAATGCTTTATTTTAGACACATTATTGTATTTTTGTAGTAATAGATTCATTGAAATTTTATTTAAGTTACTTCATTTTTCAAATTCTTCTATGATTTCTGCTACTAAGCCAACCAATGTTGTTTACTTAATTTAATATGCTTATACTAAAATTCTTATTAAAATTGCAAAATCATTTTCATCAAATATCTTATTTTAAATGGCCAATTATTTTATCCATTTTTTAATTGGATATTATGGTCCATGTAAACTATTAATTAATTCAATCCAACAAATATTGGTTTTAGTATTTTTAGGGATAAATTTTTCAATATCTATTTTTGGAGGAGGTAGGATTTTTGGATTTTAAAGTTTCTCTTATGTGGATTTGGATTTTATCATGGTTAATTTATTACAGATTGGATTTGAATTTATACCTTAAGGAGAAGGCAAACGTCTGAAAAAATAAGAAGGCTCTTTATTACTTCTGTCTGTTAAGCATTCCTTGATATTTTATAACTTTTTTCTATGAATAGCCATATTGAAATCATTTATTCTTGTAGAAATTGGGAGTTTTGAACTATCGTTCTTCTTCAGAAATGAACATTTAATTTCTGTATTTAAATGCCTTTCTTTAATTTATTAAAGGCATAATCTATGACCCCATAATTAGGATAATATTAATTATCGCCCTCCCACATTCCGAGTGTCGGGGGTGAATTGCATACGTTAATAAAATATTATAAATAAATTTACAATATTAAATAATTTCTGTTCAATTCTTCAAATTACCCTTGTTCCATTATTCCATTCTTATTATTCTTCTAATCCTCCTTTCTATTTTTTAACTCCTTTTCCATGTTATTTATCATTTTTCCATGGTCCACAATAATTAGTTCCATCATTAAAAAAGAAAGTCCCTTCCCCATTTCTTAAATCATTCTAAAATTATCCTAGGACACAATCATGAGTTATAATACCTTTATAGCATCTACCATCAGGATAGAATAATTCTCCTTAACCATTCATCATACTATTTTTCCAATTTCCGTTATATTTCCTTTTGTCAGCCCAAGTAAAAGTTCCATATCCTTTGATCAATCATAATAAATTTATACCTTCCATTTAATCATTAACAAGACTTCCTTCATAAATAGACCCATCAGTCCATTAAAATCGACCTGTTCCATATTTTACTCCTTTATCATAACTTCCTTCATACTTGGTTCCATCGGGCCATGTTTCTTTACCAAAACCATTCTGTTTATTATTTTTGAATTCTCCTTCATATTTAGTTCCATCAGCATATTTATAAGTACCATTTCCTTCAATTTTTCCATTCTGAAAATCACCTTACTATAATAAATACATAAATTTACATAAAAATCTCCAGATGCCATAATTAATCTTCCATTTAAATGTTAATAGTCTTTTGAAAAATAACCTTCATAAATAGAACCATCAGAGTAAATCAATTTTCCTCTTCCTTCTCTTAACCCATTTAACCATTAACCTTCATAAATTGAACCATCTTCTAATTGCTGAAATTAATTAAAATTTTTACATACGGAGTTAAAGACCTAGAATTTAAGAATTTCTCATCATTATTTTTGCTATATTAATATTCTCCATATTTAAGTAGCTGTTGTTTTATTAAATCATTGGTGGATTCTACAACTCCATTATATGGTTTGATATTTTCATTTTTTGGCTTCATATTTTCCATTTACTCTTTTTCTTGTTCAGCCTATATATTTTAATTTTAACTTACTTCTTTTCTTGCCTTCATACCTCTAAATCCCGATTAAATTTTAATAACATTCTATTCATCATATGATTATAATGGAAATGCTTCTGCCTATACTTCAACAGGTTTAACCACTTCTTCTTATTTTTGACCTTCTTCAATACACAGACTTTCTCTGTTTTCAAAATCTGTTGAGACTGGATGTTGAGATATACAAGTACCCATTTTATTAGTAAATTATAAATTCAATGAATAGAACTAAATATTTCACCTTTTATCATTCAATTATTACATATAAAACACTTTGAACCATCATTGCATTTAACTTAGTGTATCAATAATGATGAAAGAAAGTAGAAAGCTAAATGACTTGTAAGTAGTTAATTCTCATAAGTAATTAAAAACGTTTCACTTCTCAGATAAGAGATTTATTTATAAAATTGATATTTTTTTCATGTATTTATTTTCATAAAAGTATTCTTTAAACTTTAAATTTGTGATTAAAGATTGTGTCATTTCTCTATATTTAAATTAAAGTTACAAGGCGCTTGGATTAATGATTAGATATGTAGAAAAAAGTTATTCTATTAATTATATATGAAAATACAATTAGAATTTAAAAGTGAATATATGTGTTAGTTGCAATTCAATTTGCTTCTTCTAATACTTTTTCAAAGTTCTGCTAGCTTATTTATTTAAAAACAACTGTAAAAATTTTGAACAAAATGGATTATGTATTAATATATAATCAGGGCGTATTATTTCAAACAAGAAAAACAATTATCTAATTAAACATAAATTATATTATATAAATGAGAAATTTAATTGTATATTTTAAATTGAATCTAAAGATGCTAAAGGTAATAAAAATAACTTAAAATGGTTAATTAGTTCTAAAAAGAGATCAAACAGAATTTTATTGAAATATTTAAATGGTTATAAACTTCTTAAATTATTAATATAATAAATTAATTATTGTTTTATTATGTAACCATATTACTGTTCAGCTGACTAGCAAGTAGCCTTTCAATTAGACCCAGAAATGCAAAGTAATTTGATTTAATTAAATTTAACAAGAATTTGTACCTTGCTCAAATTTTAATGACATTGCTTATTTTTCTTAGTTCTCCTACCCTGCTCCTTTCTCTGCTTACTCTGTCGATGGTTTTCCTGAATAGGAAGTTAATATTTAGCATAAAATTAAAAAAACAAAGAAGAACAAGTAAACTATTTTCAATAATTTTAAGAAATACTGATTCTAAAGGATTATTACCAAAAACTTTAGAGTCAGAAAAGTAAGTAATTGATGATCCAGGATAAACATTATCTTAGAATGATTAACTGTATTTATTAACTTCATAATAAATAGAGCAAAATAAATTACGGCACCTTATTCAATCTATAATTATCCTTAAGGAGCACCTATGCCTAAGTTGTAATCTGATATTGTTTCAAATCAAGATGCATAAGGATCATAAGAAGGGTCTTAACAAACATAAAAATCAAAAGGATAACATCAATAAACAAAGAAGCCAAAAAAAGAACACATTAACACTGGACATTGGTCAACAGAAGAACATACAACATATATAAATTTTCTTTAACAATATGAAAGTATAATGACATCTTCTATGATGAAAAAAACTTCTAAAATATTCAAATAAATGAGTGAATTAATTGGAACTAGAACTCCAAGTTAATGTAGAAGTCATCATTAAAAATTTAATCCTTATGCTTTAAGGGGTGAAAATGGAAAAAGACTACCAAGAACAGAAAGAAGCAGAGCTGGAAGAAAAAAGAAGAACCCATAAATTGAAATGGCAAAAGCAGGTAAAATAAATTAATTATATTACTAGAGGAAATTAGCATATAACATCATTATGATTAAGAATAATTGATTATAATGTATGAAAAATAGCATTTATTTTATCCACCAGTCATACCATATGAATAATGGAATCCCTATTATGATGTGCATTAAAATATTAAAAAAGAAGAAGAGTAAGATCAAGAACTTTAACATAGTTAATTTATATAATAATAATTAATGCATCAATAAGATTATGAGGAATATTTGAGAATAAATTACTAAAGAAACTAAATTAATCAGGATTTAAATGATGGTCGTAATTCAATTGTCAATGACTTTTGAAACAACTATGATTAATAACATTGTATAATATATTATTAATTTATTATTTTGTAATTTATCAAGAAAAAACATAAAATATTTTGTTTAAATTTGTAAGATATGAAAGAAAAATAATAGCTAAAATTTTCAAAATAAGGGAAAAAAATAACTAATTAATTATTAGATTTTTCATATCAATCCAGAATCATTTTAGAAAATGAAATCATTAAAATACCATAAATAATTTTTTCAATAGTTATCATCCTTTCACATACACAAGAAATTAGCTTTTTATTTGACAACTATTATTAATCTACACACTCTAATTTTGACTTTATGCTTGCCTTTGTAAAAATATCTAAATTTGTTAGACCTTATTAGATTCTTAAACAAGAATTTTACACTTATTCATATGTAATACCTTTAATTATTAATTTTCTTTATTATTTCTTGCTTTTAAAACTATTTATAGAATTCAAAATTCGTAAAGATAAATAGCTCAAATTATTAAATTTATTTTATTCATAAAGCAGGATATTTGTTATCTTAATGATCTTTTTATCATATATTTAAGCTTTGCTTTTTCATTTATTTTTTACAATTTAAGTAGAAATGGTTATTTCATCAATATCATATAATTCTAAAATAAATTAAATTCATATTGAGAATATCATTTTAGCAATAATTACATTAATTCTTGTTATTTTAAATATGGTTTCATATATGCTATGCAATTTAGAATCAAACTATATAGGTTAACAAAATTTTGGAGTACTTAAACAAGGTTTTTGTTTATACTGGTAGTAAATGTCCATGTTAATAATAATTTTAATAAATTAGTTAAACACTAGTCACAATCTAAAATTTTATTTAATCTTAACTTTGTTACTGACTAGAATATCTTTTTAAATTTACTCATAATTAAACTATTTTATATCTCACTTTATAAAAGCAAGAATAGAATTTTTTGGAATGGCAAGTTAGTTATTGATGATATTTATTTTCTTAATTTTAAATTTGATTTAATTAAAAAATGAATATTATGATGCTTTATTCTTTCTAATCCTTTTTCCTCTACTTGTATAAATTATTAACGACTAATTTAAAACATATCATAATAATTTAATGATTAATAGAAAAAATAATTTCAATCCAAACAAATTATAATATAAGATTGTTGAACTGTTTCTAAATTTCGGAACTGTAAGTAATTCTTTTGTAAAAAAAAAGTAATAAATGGTTTTTATTTATCATTTTAAAATAACACACAAAATGGAGTGTTAGTAATCTTTATGTTAGTGCAAAAATTCTTCATTATCATTTGAATCAATTATTAATCTATATATGAAGGAATAAATCTTAATATTTGGAGAGGCAATTAATTTAAATAAAGATAAATCTGCAAAATAAAGCTTTTTCTTAAGATATATATAATTTATTAACTAATTGGGATATAACATAAAAGCATTTGAATAATTGAATATCTAAAAAATTTATGAGATAGATTAAAAGTAATTATTATCATATTAAAACTAGTTCTTAAATAAACCTTTAAAAAAGTGAAATAAATTATGGAGAACCAAATAATAGTTTAGATTAGAAAAGTTACTCTGGGTAAAAATTTTTAAATGATTAGTAATTGAATGAATTTAACAAAATTAAAGTTGGTAAATTGAATATAATCAGATAAATAAAGCTCAGATTAATCTCAGAGAATATTAAAAATTCTATGAGTAATGCTTTCAAAAAATAAAATAATCTTTAAGAAAATATAGAACATGCTGTAAATTTATTCATAATCTCCGAAAACGGAAATAAAAAATTAAAATAAAAGATTCTGATGAGTTTAAACAGAAAAAGATAATTATTTAATAATCTTGTTATGAATAATATCAAATTGTTTACAGAAGCAAAATAATTATTGATTAAATTAAAAAAAATCGAGAGATAATTAGATAAATTATATGATTAATTTCCAAGTAGAAAAATGCAAGCTTTAAGTGCTTTTTTTTAAGCAGAAATAATGAATAACTACTTTAGTGCTTACAAAATTTCAATGTTAGCTTCAATTTCCGATGAAAAGCTTTTGAAAATGCAATCTTAAATATCATTAGATCTTTTCTCAAACAAAATTGAGTATTTAATTTTTGGGTTTGATTAACATTGTCATCGTTTAAAGATCTAATAAACAAGTAATCGAATTCATTAATTTTTCGGATATTCGTTAGAATAATTTATATCATAAGATTTTATTGAATTTATATTACCTCAAGGCTTTCATATAATTCATTAAAATTTAGTTTAAAATTTTTTATAAACTGGTGAATCAAAATTCTTTAGATCAATAAATTTGAGTTTCTGTTAAACAATCAATAAATTTATGAAACCTTTAGATTTTTTTTTTGATATTAATTTAGCGAGTTTTGATGATTTAAGATTCATTTCATTTTTATAAGAAACTTAAATATAATCTGCTTATTTATTTTGTTGTTAAAACAATAGAATACAATCAATGACAAAAAATATAGTATAAAAATTAGGTGTTCCATCAAAATATGGATAATAACTTGTGAATCTATTGTTAAAATAATAAATTACAAAATTTTTTCCTAAATATCACAATATTTATGAATCATTTATAACAAGAGGATCTATATTAAATAAGGATTAATTTGAATAAACAATTTAAGATGATAAATAAAGTTATTTTGACAAAAGCGAAAATTAAATAATAATGAACATACCAGAACTGTAGATATTAGAAAATTAGTAAAAAATTAATTGGAATGAAAATGATCATATACATTAATTGTATGTAGATGTAGTTTTTCACCTAAGAAATGTTTAATAAGATATTTTTGAATATTTAATAGTAGAAATAAGAGAAGCTAAAAAGATGACGAATACAGAACTATCTACTCCTTATTAAACTGAACGACCATTAAGTACAAATAATAATCTTGAATATCTTGTATAACAATCAGATTTTGATAATAACTTTGGGATAATTGAAGACAATGAAATATATTAAATTAATACACCTCAAGCATTAGAATTGGATAATTTTGATTAACAGATTCATTTTGGATAAAGACTTAAAATTTCTCATAACAGTTAACATTTGTATCCTAACATTTCAATAGTATTAGCGAGTCCCAAAGATAGCACAGTTAGACTTATAGATGATAAGCCAGAAATAAGTTTATAAAGAGAAGTAAATTAAAAAGTAAAAAATTTGAAAAATAAATAATAAAATTAATACTTTTTTGCACAATAATAAAAAGAAGATTAAGATTCAAGTAATTACATAAGTAGTTTGCGTCCTAATTAACAAGACGAAAATAACCAGCTTTAATTAGTTGGAATAGATTAAGAAGTGTAAAATAGAATTAAGTTACAAATTTAAGATGATAATATTGAAAATAATTAGATTCTACAAAGGAAATAAGATGGATCAGAAACAAGCTCTTTAGGTGATATCAAAAAATCTAAATATTCAAAGAAATATATATTAATACAAAAGATTATAAGTTCGCCAAAATTTTCGCATCATTTTAATAAAATGAAGTACATATTAAGTTTGTTGTTTTTAAATTTTGTAATTTTTGGTTTAGTTGAGGTATACTTTTTAAATTCTGATTTACCATAGTTTTTAAAGGAATTAGATTTATTATAAATAAAAGTCAATATCATAGGTCCTATAGACAATTATATTGTTGGATAGAATGATGTAGTAAATTATTAAATATTGGTGCTTCAAAAAAAAATGACAGAAATAGAAGCTTAAAAAAATTCAATATATTCTGTAAATGAAATAAATTACACATTTTATGAATTAAAAACTAGCTTTGAAAATTAATTGCAAAATCCTTATATAGACCCTTTTTTTGAGGATAGATATATAGATGTATGGATGGCAAAATATCCAAATTTAGTGAGCTATAATATTAGAGTAAGAGAAGCTATTTAGTTGGAACTTGAAGCAGCTTTGAATTTTATTTAGATAGATTTTTTAAGAGCAACTAACATAGATTTCACATAAGGGTTTTTTGCATTTTTATTTAAAAATTATTAATCTTTAAGACATTTATTTTAAAATTTGAATGAAGAAATGTTGGACTATTCTACAAATAGATCTACATTAGTATCTAAAAATTGGCATTAATTATTAATTCCAATATTAATTATTGGTTCTTGTTTAATGATGGCATCAATGATTTTTTATAGGATCTACCTTTAACAATATGATAGATTTTTACAATTATTTTCTTATATTGATAGTGTTTGGATACAAAATGATATAGCTAGATATAGGGGATTCGTAGGTTTACTAAACAAGAACTAAGATGTTCTATTTAAATATTAATTTGATATAGAGACAAAAGAGAAAATAATATAAAATGAAGAAGAAAAGAAAGAATAATAAAGATAAAATCAAACATAGTAAAAAGAGAAATAAAATTTAGGATTCATAAGATTATCATAGAAAATGAGTTATATACCATCAACATTAACTTTTTTACTTATTTATGGGGTATGTTTCATTTTTTGCTTCATTTCAAATTCTTTGGGATAAAATTATTATTAAAAATATCCTGAAACAACAAAATTTTTTAATTTATTGTCTGATTTGAGTATGGCAAGTAGTGGAATATTCTCTATGAGAGAAATTAGCTACACTATTTAAGGAAATGACACTATTTTTTATTTTTTTCCTGAGAAAAATGCTTCTTATTTTATTGATGTTTTTTTTAAACATGTTAAAGTAATTGATAATTTTTTAGAAGGGTTTGCAATTTTTGATTCATCAAATTATATAACATCAGAAAGATTTGTTGCTAATTTTTATGAATTAATGAAAAGTGATATTTGCATGTTTCTTCCTGAAGTATTTATATATAATAATTGAAAATAGTATAAAATTTTTGGAGCTTAACAACACTGCAACTCAGCTTTAGATGGAGTGATGAGAAATGGTATGATATAAACTCTGAATAAAGTAAGAAATTAGTTATTAAATGAATTTGAATAATCTAACAATTTTTCAATTGAAACTATAAATATTTAATCTGATTTAGAGATTGGATTAATAGCTTATGATGTTCTTAACGATTTACGAGATTAATTTTAAAATGAGTTAACTAATACAACTAATGCTTTAATCCAATAAGTTTTGGTATATTTAAATAAAATATATAGATAATTAATATTACATTCATAATATTATTGATTTTATGTTTAATATGTTTACATTTAGTAATATAGCCTTATTTTTAATGGGAATTTAATATTGTTAAACATTTTATAATTTTATTGCCTTAAGCATCGTTATTTCTTGATAATTAGTTAGATAGAATAGTGAGATAGATGATTGCATAGGAAGATTTAATATGAGAAACTCATTTTATATTGATATATGATATATATATATATATAATTCATTTTAATTTTGCTAATCTTTATTCAACTATCTTATCTAATCTTAATTATTATTTAAGCAATTCAATATCTTTTTTATAATTAGTTTGATAAGTTGTTGAATCATCTTAATGTCTTTACTCTATTGTGATTTTTTCATCATTAATAGATATTTAATGTCTATGAATAAAAGAAATTGATTACTATTCAGAATTTTCATCATCATTTTCTTCTTATTAATTATGATCAATTTATGATTTTTAACTTTCACTTCTTAAATCCAATTCAACTTATTATACATTTTCTGTAAATATCACTCCATCTGGATTTCTTCTAATCCATGGCGCTTCCGGTTTGTTATCCACGTCTGTAGACTATACTATTGTAATCGAATAATTAAGATTACTTGAATTCCTTCAATTAATTTATTATCAAATTCTGGATTCATTGATGGAGGAGTTATTCTAGGTAAACAAAATGATAATCTTGTTTCTAAATTTCCCATTTTAAATGTAGGAAAAATACAGCATAATCTATTTGAAAAAGGAAATATTGTTGCTGTTTTAGATTAATTAGAATCTAATGCAGAAATGAAATCTCGAATAGCTGTTTCAAATGATTCTTAAAGTTAATCAGCTAATTAATTTAATAATTCTTTTCCCTTTCTCTTTTATTTATTCTTAAATTATATAAAATAATTTTACTAATATAGTTGCTAAAGCAACATTGTAATAGTATTCATACATATTGTATGTTCTATCTTCAAATTCTAATTCATCTAATTCACTGATTAATCTTTCTTATTATTCTTACTATGATATTAATGAGTTATTAGATTATTAACTAAATTCCTTTATTTACTATTTTAATCCATATGATTTTGTCCATAAATCTATTGCTTTTTTGTAGTTTCCTAAATAAAATTTCATAATTCCTCTATAAAATATCAAATCAGGAGTAAGAAATACATGACCATCAGATCCTAATATGATTAGTTTTTTCAACATTTAAGATGCCAATCTGAAATTAATTAATTTGTTTGATCCTTGTGATAATTTTACAACCATTACAGATTAAGATTCATCTGGTCCAACAGTTGATGTTTTTAAAGCTAATAAACATTCTTTATCAATATAACTTTTTTTATCTCCTGTTAATTCTATAATTCTATTCAAATCTGACATAGCATAATTTAATTCTTTTTAAATTATATAACATAATGCTCTATATCTTAATAATTATACATTATTTTATATATCAGGTGAATGAGAATAAGTTTTTATTGCATGTTCATAAGCACCTATTAAAAATAATAAATTTCCAGCCCATAAATGAATATCAGGATCTTTAGGTTTTAAAGAAATATATGTTTGTAAATCATTAAAAGCAGCTGTTCTATCTCCCAACAATGTAAATACTTTAGCTCTATTTAAATATGCTTCTGCAAATTTTGAATCCCAATTAATGACTATTGTGAAATCATTCAATGCTTATTAAGGATTGTCTAAACATGCTCTTACTAATCCTCTTGCATAAACATACTTTGCTACTCTATCTTCATTCTTTTCAACAGCTTTTGTTAAATCAGACAATGCCAAATCTATTTATCCAAAATAAAATCTTAATATTCCTCTGTGATATAATAAATTAGAATTCTAATCATTAAGTGTTACTGCTTTATCTAAATGTTTTAGAGCATTCTTTATATACTTATCCTTATCTTTTGGCATATGTTTATTAATAAATTATATCAGAGTCAAAGATTTATAAAAATGAGGTTCCATTTTACCAGGAAATAATTTAGAAGCTTTCTAAAATTATGATTAAGCTTTTTCAAATTAACTTGATTAAGACATCACAATTCCTTCACAAACTATTTTATTATATAATGATGGTTAATCTAATTCTTAGAAATTTTAAACATATATCAAATCATTTAATGCTTTCTAAAATTTATTCAAACAAATAAAACCTAAAATATTTAATATCAATACCATAAGCTCTATATAAAAATATAATCTTTTTTATAAACTCTCCCAATTAATAATTATTTATTAATTAAGTAAAAACATTGACTCCTTCTTAATATTTTCTTTTCATTAAAAATATCACTCCTTCTGTAAATTATCTTAATTTCATAATCGATTCTTTATCAACCTCTAAATGATCTTCTCTTTATAATGTATAATAGGCAGAATAGAAATCTTTTTAATCAATTTTAATTTTAGCTATTTCTTACAAAGATTTTGTTACTGCTTTTCTACTATTATTTTATTTAATTGACTATTCAAAACTTAAAATTGCCTCATTTAATTATCCTTTATTAATATAAATCTATCCTTTCATAAATAATGCTTCTGAACTATTTGGATCACTTAATAAAATTTAATTTATGGCTTCCATTGCTCTATCTAAAGATTACAACTCTATATAACAATATATTTTTCTCATTAAAATTATTTCATTCTCTGGAATTGTTTCATAAACATTTAATGCTTCTGTTATTTTACCACTCAATCTTAAACAATCAGCTCTTCCTAAAGTACCTTAAAATGAAATCTAATCATTTTCTAAAACACTTGCTTAATTAAAATCTTATAATGCTAATTAATATTTTTTTATCTTCATTAACAATTTTCCCTTATGTATTAATGCATCATAATAAGTTGGTTGTAATTTTGAATATTTCTTAGATAAAAACTCTTTCAATACAACTATTGCATCACTGTAGTTACCAATTTTTTTTAAACATAATGCTTATAATATTACTGTATTTCCATTTAAATCTCCTGATTGTCTTGCTCTTGAAAACTAATTTACTGCTTAATCATAGTGACGACAATTCATATGTATCAAACCCTTATAGTAGGCAATCTCCTTTATATATTCAGGATTTATTTATGGTTAATCAATCTCTTCCAAATCCTTTAATGCCTCTTAAAATTTCTAAGCCTTTATCAGCTTTTCACAATTTAATATTCTTTTTGCTGGAGACTATGAAAAATATTAATGGACATGATTCTCACTTGTTGTACTGTTAGGATGTAATTTGCTAAATTTAAATATCAATATATTTTACTTCTATAATGAGGATTTTCGAGTTGATAACTAAATTGTCTTTATGTTTTTTGTATTAAAAGAGCTATTCAATGAGGCTTTATGATTTGTCATTGACTTATTTTTTTTATTATTCACTATACTCCCTGATTTTCTTTTTGAATCATCATTTCTAGATTAAACATTCCTATTATCAACATCTTCAGTTTTCAAATAACGATTTTGGCTTCTTCTTATCGTCTATTACTATCTACCTTCCCACATCGAAGGTGTAAAACATTTTCTTCTTGGAGACAAACTAGTTCTAACAAGCATTTTTTTTGGTTAGTTATTTAACTTATAATATATATAAAAATTTGAAATCTAATTAACATTTGCATTATAATTTATTTTTATATAATCAAAGATTTTATAATTCAAATTCTCATATATAAAATAAAATGAATATATGAATATTTGTATTTTTAAAAAGCAATTTACTTAATGAAAAATAAAAAAAAATTAGAATGTATTATCAGCTGAAGGCGATATCCTTAATTCAAACTTTATTACGATTTACTATTTGTAATCTTTTAAACTTTTTTAATCCCTAGTTTAGCAATACAATTAAAAATTAATTTGAATTTTTTTCGGAACTGTTTATTATTAATAGCATTTCTATTTAACAAAATAAATTAAATAATTCTCTATTTACCCAATCTTTTTTAGATTCGTTTATTAGTAAGGAAAGTATTTATAAAACTTTAGATAAATCAAAAATTAATTACTTTATTAACTTTAACTCCTAATTATTCTTATTTTTAACTTATATTTATATATTAGTTAAGGATATTCTAATAATTTATTCGGAATTCTCTGTGATTGTTATTTTTATAATTAATCTATAAATATTTATTTTATGTGATTGGTTTTTTTATAAAAGTGTTATTCTTTCTTTAATATATTCATAGTGTTTGGAGTTTTTAAAGCATTCTGAATTTATTAACAAATAAACTCAAATTGGTTTTATTCTCAAAATGCTTATGTGTTTGATTTAAATAAATCTTTGACTATTAAAAGCATTTTAAAGTTTAAAAAGAAAAATTGATGATGTTAGCTTAATTCTATAAAAAAGAGATTATTCATATCCTTGCAATCTTTACTCTAATATGATCTATTTGCTTATTGAAAAATAAGAATTTATTATTTAACAATTTTTTAATGAAATAATGTACTAATTCAAAAAAAAATATAGGGAATGGAGGAACTAAAGAGATTAAAAGTGATTAGTTTACAATTCACTTAATGAAATAGAAAAAAGATATTTCAAAATTTTTTTTATATATTTATAACATAAAATTACATAATTCGCAATGACATCATCAATTTATTTATCAATGTCATCATCATTGAGTTTAAAGGAGCAAATCAAAATTGAACAGTGTTATTAATTTTTATGTAAAAAACATTATTAATAGCAGGATTGACACTCCTTTTGAGCACAATTGGTTATATTCATCATCAATAACCAACTAACTTATTACAAGCTGAATTTGAAGCATTCAAAACTACATATAAGAGATCATATAAAGTCACAGAAGAAGCTTATAGAAGAGCTATTTTTGAATAAAATTATGCTAAAATATAAGCTCACAATGCTGATCCAACCTAAACATATGAATAAGGTGTCAATTAATTCACTGATTTGACATAAGAAGAATTTATATCCATCTACTTAACTTTCACCCCACCTGAAGGATGGTAACCAGAAGAAGGAGAAGTTGTATAAGAAAATGTTGAACCAAATGACTCAGCTGATTGGAGATCAGTTGTCCGTGTTAAGGATTAAGGTGGCTGTGGTTCATGCTGGGCATTTTCTGCTGTTGGTGCTGTTGAAGCTTTCTTGAGAGTCGTAAAAGGATAAAATCTCAATTTATCTGAATAATAATTAGTTGATTGTGATACTAGCAGTTAAGGATGTAATGGAGGATATCCAGATAAAGCTATTTCTTATATTGCCAGAAATGGTGCTGAATCATAAGCTAACTATCCATATGTAGGAAGAGATTAGGCTTGTAAATCTAAAACAGGTCCAACTAAAGTTACTGGAAACTAAGCAATTGCTAGAACTGGTTTATAAGCTGCAATTAAATCATATCCAATTTCAGTTTGTGTCGATGCCTCAAATTGGAGTCCATATAAGTCAGGAAAATTCTCTAACTGCAATAAGAATATCAATCATGCAGTTATGGCTGTTGGTTTTGAAACTGATGGTACTTGGCTTATCAAGAATTCATGGGGAACTGGATGGGGATAATCAGGATTTATGGAATTAGTAGGAGGAGACACTTGTGGTGTTACTCAAATGGCAAACAAAGCTTATTGAGATAATATTTACATAAAAATTTAAATAATATTTATCATAAAGTAGACATAAGTCTTTATAAAGCTTGTCTCTATAATCCATTATTCACAAACTAACTAAAATGAGGACATTTATCTTCTATTTCACTAAAATACAATTTTGTTTGTTTTAATTCTATTTTCCCCTTTATTTATTGATAATTTATATGAACTTTTTGATGTTCTTAGAATAATTATAAAATTATTAGTGACCTTTTTTTATAAGCCATAAATACCATCCCATCTGTATTTTCTTATTCTTATTTTGTTTCTTCTAAAAATATTGGATTGTTATTTATATATTTTTATTAATTTGCTAAACCTAAAAAGTTTTGTGATTTTATTTTAAATCCAATATATTCACATATTTATTTTAAATCACTTAAAGATAATTTTGCATTCATATAATTTGTTTAATATTTAAAATAACCATCTGCTATGAATAAATTCAAAATCTCTCTCAAGTTTATTTATTTTTAACAATAAAATATTGGAGATTCACTCTAAAAACCAAGCACTCTAATTGATAAATTAAACATTGAAGAATTAGCATAATTAATAGATTCAAAAGCAATAAAAGGATTATCTCTTCCTATATCTAAACTCATATAATCTAAAAAGAATTGAATTGTATAAAGTCCAATCTTATCTATTTTGAGTTGCATCTTATGTATAAATTCTTTTAGATTTGCTTTAAATCCAAAATCTAAACAAATTTAAGAACCACTTTAAAACTAAGATTTTAGAGTAATAACTTATTTATCCTTTAGTAAAGCTTAATAATTACTAGATAAACTTTTAAAATGATTTAAAAGTTCTTGATTTTCCATTGATTCATTCTTCTTTTTCTAAATATAATTCTTACCTATCTATTTAAAAGAATTAACAGTAGCATTTGTATCTTATTCAAGCTATTCTATTAGACTTTTTTCTAAATAATTCTTATTTTATTCTTCACTTTCAATTCTTATATTGAAAGGATCTTTTAAACTTAATTTTAATAACTTTATTAATTAAGTCCAAATATTCAATTCCACCCTCACTTTATCAGTCCTTATATTCATCTTACTTTAATTTTATAATAATTATTAAAAGATTAATCTTTTATTTAAACTATTATTAAGTTCTCTAGTAAACTCAAAAAATTTATGGAGATTTATAAAAGTTTATTACTTGTTCATAATTAATTTATTTGTTGTAAATTTTCTTAAATAAACAGATTTCCTTTACATTTTTGTTTATTCAAATAAAATAGAAAACATTTCTTAAGTCTCCAAACTGGCTAAATCTAGAAAATTAATAGTTCCAAGCAGATATCTACTTGTTTTTGGAACATAAATTTAAACAATCCAAACATCTATAATTAAATGGCTATAAACTGTAACAATACCATATTCTATTGGACCATTTTTGAAAGTACTTAATTAAGTATTTTTAATTCCAACCTAGAATTTTTTTATAAAGTGTCCAATTACTCTAGCTTCTTTTAAATATGTTTCACAATAATTTTTAGCAACTTATTCTTTTGAATCATAAAATAATTTAACAAATTAACAGTTACTATGTCGTTCCAATAAATTTAAGTTATTTATTTAAATAATATTTCCTTTAGGAGATTTAGGTGAATCTCCACTTATAGATATGCTTCTTTAATATTCAATGAATGTTTATTTAGTCTTTTTTGATAAAAAATATCTATGAAGAAATGTAGGTAATTAATATCTAAATTTTCTTTCTGTATAGGTATTATTTAAAATAATCATAGTCATCTTTTAAATAAATTTATCATCGAAATAGTAAATTTATTAATGCTGTTCAATGTTAATTTTGAATAACTCTATCAAATCTTGATGAGAAAAAATCATTTTAAATGAAGATGTTCTAGATGATAACAATTCTAATTATAAATTTACATAAAGCTATTCCCCATCAAAATAATATATTCGTTCATTTCCTTTCTAATCAAAATTAAAATTATCTAATTTTTTATTAAAACTGTAATAAACAGATGTATGTACAATGAACTACTGATTTCGATTTATAAAAAATCTATAATGATTAGAATTAAAATGATTTGTAAGATCTTTATGTTTACTCAAAATTAAAGTTTTTAATTTTATAGCTGAAGGCAATTAACAATTGACATAGTTTGATTATTAAATAAAAATAGGAGTTTTACTATCTCGAATTAAAAATTCTTCAATTTTATAATTCAAATTTTAGTTATTTTTTGAAAATTATTTTAAACTACCTTTTTTATAAATTCTATAAAGCGGAATTTACTTTATCATATTTATTGCTTAAAGTATTTCTTAATTATTGGCCATAAAATCAGGTTCTTCAATAATTTATTTTCCTTAATATATATCATCATATTATTAAATTTAAGTAATAATGTTGATTTTAAACATTTGTTCTAAATTTTATTCCTTTTCATTAATGATTTTTGTATGTTTTACAAACTATTACTCAATTGGAGATATAGCATATAGTTAAATAGTTTTCTCCTCTTTTTACATCAATTTTAAAGACATTTTTTTAGTTTTTAATTAATTATCATTCTTTAAGATTACTTTATTTTGAATAATATCAATATCAAAATAAGTAAACAAAAATAAGCTTAATAATTCTTTTTAGATTTATGAATAATCTGATTAGAAAAGTAAATTATGGATTAATTATTCGAATCTAATATTTTATAATTATTATGGATCTTTCTCAAGATATTCTAATAATTAATGAAATAATTATATTTATAGAGAATAAGGTTCTATAAATAAGTTACTTTTCATATTATCAACCACTTTCTCTTTATTAAATAAGGTTGAAGTAACTTTTAATTCAAAATATTATTTGTTTATTTGAGCTCCATAAACTTAAGGTATACTAAAAGGTTAGCTTTTTTTACCTTCTGGACTAAGTAAATCATTTAAATGATATTTTAAGTCTCTTGTTATTTCTATTTCTAATGTTAGAAGTACAAATTTCTAAAAGCATCTTTTAAAATCTGATTTATACATATCTTTGGATAATTTGATTACTGTTGAAAATATCTTTTATGAATATCCTTTGAGATTGACTGATGGACCTCCATCTATCATAAATGATCTAGAACTGGAAATGAACCTAAATAATAAGATACTATTTTTAATTTTTTGTTTATTTGCTAAATATTCCTATAATTCTTTATCAGTTATATTATCAATGATATTTAATTGTTTATTATGAAAATGAATCTAAGCAATTCTTTTAATATGATATTCATATGAAATAATTTTATTTATTAATGTCATATTTATATATTTGACTGTAGCATAATTAATATTAGGTAGGATTTCATATGCATAACCACAAATCTTTTTTACTTTACTAATTTATGATTAATGAAATTAGCAAAGATAACTTTAAACATAAGCACAACTATTGATATCTTCAGAAGTAATCTTTACTTTTGCTCTTTAAGTAAGACCTGATATAAATGAATGCCTATCTTTTTTTATATTGTTTGAAAGGTCAAAATTAAAGATATAAGAATATTATTTAAATTTATCTAATTCTCTTAATGCTTCAGCTACTGTAGGCCATATTGTAGTTACATTTTTTTCTCTTCCTTTTTATACTACTGGAAGATCAAATCTATAAAAATTATAAGAATTTCCTTCTTATGATGCATATAACACAATGAAATTTTTATCTGCTGTTAAATCTTTGTATTTAATTTTCCAAATTTGAATTTTATTCTAAAAAATAATTTTATATTTTAATGTTGGATAATATAAATGTTATTATTTAACTTGTTATAAAGTTCCATATTTTTCTTAAAGATAAGTGATATCTTCTGTATTATAATTTACAAGACTTAATCTTTTAGCTAAACATATAGCTTTAAAAAAACCAAACCCTTTTCCTTTAATTATATCTTTCATAGATTATTCTTTTTTATCTTCAAAATTTCCTCTAGGTGTAGGTTAACTTTGAGCATTTGATTATTTTTCAATTTAATTACCAACCATATCAGGAGCTGTCTTAAATCTATTGAAATCTAAAAAATTTGTTATAGATTGAGGTTTAGATTAAACAGGACCAAGTATTGTTTATTATTTCTCTAATTAACGTTTCTTTCTAAATACTCCCATTCTTATCAAAGCTTTTATTTTATTAATATTTTATCTAACTCTATCACTAAAATTTGCTTTTAGCTAAACGAATTATGATTTTAATCCTAATCTAGGTTTTATAGCAGTAGAATTTTGTCTGATAAACTTAGATCTTCTTTTAGTTTTTCTAATTAATTCTTTCATTTAAAGTTATCTATCACTAACAATTTAATATGGAGGATCATCAACATATGTTAATATTTTCAAAAAGTGTTTAGTTATCAATTTTGGTAATTTTTTACCTCCAGGAGATTCTAAATGAAAATATCTTAAATTAAAAAGAACAACTAAACTCATTATACTAATTTTTGGTTTTTAGACTACCAAAGCTTAAGACATAAATTTTGTTGGCTCTTTTGATGTTAATTTACTATCTACTACTTCTTATATTATTTCTTATTTTCTAAATGGTGAAAACTCTTCTTATTTACTCTGTCTTTTTGTAATTGGAACAGATGTTATTATATTCTTATATATTTTTCCAACAGAAGGCTTTTAATGTAATGGCTTTCTCTTTTAAAAAGATTTAATTTTATAATTATCCACTTCCAACCACATTTCCTTACTTAGTATAGATTCAGGTTAAAATTAACTAGGTGGTCTACTTATTGATGCTTATCTACTATGAAATGTAGATTTAGCTACTCTCTCAGATTATTTTGTTAAATCTAATTAAATTTATTAAATTTGTTAAGCATTATATAAGCTAGATATTGATTCATAATGAGTATCTCTTTTAAAAGTAGATGATTATTTTAGATTTTCTTCTGAAGATAAAAAACTTATTAATGATCTGGCTACTTTATGACGTGGTTTAGAATCAAATCTAAATATTTTTCTTTTAAATAAATTCTTTCCTAATTTTTCATAATATTTATCCAACATTTCTAATACTTGCTCATATTTCTTAGCTAACTATTAATCTGCTGATTATTAAGATTTCTTATAAAATTATTAAGACATCTAAAGTAATATTTAAATCTCATTAAATAAATTTTCAGCTAAGCTTGGAGCTATACCTTTACTGATTGGATATAGCAACTTTATTTCAAAATATATAAATTAAAAGAAATCCTCTTTAGGCATATTTGCACATGCTTTAGCTGAATCAATCATTTTTGGAGACAAATATACAACATTTTCTTGAGTGTTTAACAAATGCATCTCAGTAACAAAGGATTTTAAATTATACATAGTATAATATTCATGTTTTACATTCATTAAAAAATGAATTGATTATTATTCTTCTCCCATCAAATAAGTTTAATAAGCCTAAAATACTAAGAATTTCAGTCTTATTAAAGTATTTTTAAAAGATTAGAGCTAAGGTAGTATTATTTATTCAAAATAATACAACTGTTTCTTCAATGATTTTTATTTTAACTATTTATTTTTTAAGATAGCCCATTTTAACCACAATTCCATAACTGAATTCGAAATTTGATATTTTTGATAAAATTGCTTATACTTTTTCATTTTATCAATGCTCTTTCCATTCATTAAAGTATACGTGATTTCATTAAGATCTAATAACATTCTTGCAATTAAAACCCTTTACAACTATTCAGGTTGAACATATTCTATTCTTGGAACCATAAAATTTTCTAATACAAACTATTCAAAGCCTAAATTTTTTCTTTAATTAAGTTTCTTCATGAAGCCCAAGCTTTCAAGTTATAGTAATTTTGTTTCCTTTTAGAATAAGTGACTGAAATTTAGACATTATAATAAAAAGTAATTCATTTATTAAATATAAAATGAGAATATCAAATGGAGATGAAAATAACTTAAAATAGATTAAGAAACTATAAAAAAATTTGATATTATTTAACCTTTAGAAGTGCATAAGTTTGTTCACATTAAATGATATGAATATTCTTGATTAGAAATTAAATATAATATTTACTATATAATATATTAGATAAATTTATTGATATATAAATATACATCCAATTATATTAAATAATAGAATAGTCATAAGATATTACAATAAAATATAATAAAATTAAAATTCTTTATTAGAAATTAGAGTAAAAGTTTGTTTATGTATTATTATTTCTTTTAAAAATAATCATAAATAATCTGTGATGAATAGATATGTTTAAAAAGAGAAGAAATTAGATAAGTAAATTATATATTTGGAATTAAAAAAGATTTATGAAATAATGAGAAAAATTCCAAAATAAAAAGAATTAATTCAAAGAAAATTTAAATATATTATTTTGTGATTTTGTTTAATGTCTGAGTAGCCTTAGCAAGATGGAATTTAAAATGATTATATTGAATCATTAAGAGAGGAATAAAACTTCCTTATGATAAAATACAATGAAAAAAGGGAAAATGAAAAGATGTAAATGGAAGAAGCTGCAAAAAAGTTTGTTTAAATAGATCCTTTATCTTAAAAAAAATTAGACAGACCAACAAGAGCAGGTGGTGTTTATGTACCACCACACAAGCTTAGAGAAATGGAAAATGAAATAAAAATGAGTAATAAAAATAGTGTTGAATATTAAAGACTAATGTGGGAATTGTTAAGAAAATCAATAAATGGCATTATAAATAAGGTTAATATTACAAATATCTAAAACATAATAGTAGAATTATTTAATGAAAATATATTAAGAGGGAGAGGATTATTAGCAAGAGCAATAATAAAAGCTTAAATGGCTTCACCAAATTTTACAATGGTTTATGCTGCTTTAATTTCTGTAATAAATACAAAATTACCAGAAATAGTAAATCTAATAATTAGAAGAGTGATTGTTTAATTTTAGAGAGCATACAAAAGAAATAATAAAATAGTTTGTATGGCAATAACAAAAATGATTGCTCATCTGATAAATTAGAAAGTTCTAAGTGATTTAGTAGGATTAGAATTATTATACATACTATTAGAAAGTCCAACAGAAGATTCTGTTGAATTAGCATGTGATTTTACAATAGAATGTGGATAAGTAATGAGTGATATATCTCCGTAAAATGTATCTACAATTTTTGAAAGATTTAAAGGAATATTACATGAAGGAACAATAAGTAGAAAAGTTTAGTATAGAATTGAATAGTTGTTTGCAACAAGAAAAACAAAATTTGTTGATCATCCTGGAGTAATACCTGATTTAGATTTAGTAGAAGAAGATGATTAAATAACACATTAAATTGATATTGTTGATGAATTGGATGCTGAAGATAATTTAAATTTGTTTTAATATGATTCTTTTTTTGAAAAAACTGAAAATGAATGGGAAGAAATAAAAAAAGAAATTTTAGGAGAAGAAAACATAATTATGTTAAAAACAAAACAATAAGTTGATTTTATGCCAGAGATAGAAGAAGAATAAGAATAAGCTAAAGATTTTACAGAAAGAGATCTTCTAAGTTTAAAAAGAGTTATCTATTTAACAATCTAAAGTAGTGTAGATTATGAAGAATGTTTACATAAAATTATTAAAATGTAAACAGGGATAGGTCATGAAGATGAAGTTTGTAATATGATAATTGATTGTTGTATGCAAGAAAGAACATATTTAAGATTTTTTGGACTTTTAGGATAAAGATTATGTGAAATTGCAGAAATTTTTAGAGATAATTTTATGAAATGTTTTGTTGAAAAATATGCAACAATGCATAGATATGAAACTGCAAAAATTAGAAATATATCTAAATTTTTTGCGCATCTTTTTTTTACTAATGCAATTGATTGGAGAATTTTAAAATGTATATCATTAACATAAGAAAGTACTACCTCTTCAGGTAGAATCATGATTAAATGTTTATTCTTAGAATTAGCTGAAAATATGAGTTTACCTGCTTTGAAAAATAAATTAATGGATCCAGAACTTAAAGATTATCTTGCTGGTTTATTTCCAATTGATCATCCTAAAAATACAAGATTTTCTATTAATTTTTTCACTAGTATTGGATAAGGATTATTAACAGAAGAGTTGAGATAAATTTATGAATAATAAAACAAAATAGAATTTTAGCATGCATAAGAAGTAATAATTATTTATAATTTTTAGGCTCTTAAATAATTTGGAACCTCAGCAGAAGAAGATAGTGAAAGTGATGAAAGTGATAGTAGTGAAGATTCTTCTTCAGATGATAGTAGTGATAGTGAATCATCAAAAGATAAATTAAAAAAGAATCAAATAGATAAAAAAAAAAAAGAAGATGAAGATAATAATAAAGCTATTACTAATAGTACAAAAGATAAAACAAAAGATAAAGATAAAGGAAAATAAAAAGAAAAATAAAGAGATAAAGAAAAAGATAAGGAAAAAGAAAGGGAAAAAGAAAAAGAAAGAGAAAAAGAAAAAGAAAGAGAAAAGGAGAAAGAGAGAGAAAGAGAAAAAGAAAAAGAGAGAGAAAGAGAAAGAGAAAAAGAAAAAGAAAGAGAAAAGTAAAAGTAAAAGGAAAAAGAAAAAGAAAGAGAAAGAGAAAGAGAAAGAGAAAAGTAAAAGGAAAAAGAGAAAGAGAGAGAAAGAGAAAAAGAAAAGTAAAAAGAAAAAGAAAGAAAAAGAGAGAAAGAAAGAGAAAGAGAAAGAGAGAAAGAGAAAGAAAAAGAGAAAGAAAGAAAATAAAAAGAGAAGGAAAAAGAAAAAAAAGATCAGAAAAAAAAATATAGAAGTCCTAGCCCTAGTAATAGTGACAGTGTTAGTGTTAGTGATAGTAGAAGCAGAAGTAGGAGTAGAAGTATAAGCAATAGTAGCAGTTAAAGTAGTAGTAGCAGCAGCGAAAGCAAACCATAACATAAAAAGCATAAATGAATTTTATTAGCTAAATTATTTTTATATTTGAAAATATTCTAACATATAAAATTGTTTAGTCTAGATTATTTATTGTATTTCGTTTTTAAAGTTTTCTAATCTCTTTTTATAATTCTTTTATGAGGTTTATTTTATAAAATATAATAAAGATTTTTAATCCAAATGTCAATTTTTAAATCATTAAAGGGTTTTTAATCTAAATGTAGATTACGTAGGGAAAATGTCTATAAAATTTATTTTAAATTAATACTCGATGACCCAAAAAATTGAGCCATTTATGAATCTGTTTTAAGATTGTATTTAGGAGTAAACTTTCTCATTTATTTATTCCTTCTTTTTTAAATCAGAACCTGAATATTTTCCTACTTTGCTTCATGAATCTAATGTAATTGACTCAAAGGAAGACTACTTAAAATTTTATTTAGAGTATAATTTGCTCGTTTAAAAGAACCAGATGAGATCTAATTACTTTATTCTTTTATACATAGTACCTTTCTAATTATGCAGTTTGAAATCTGCTCATGGAAAAAGGCTTTCTTTTTATTATATTTTATTACTGTCTTTTTGGATTTGCTAATATTAATAAAAGAATACGCTCAGCTGAAGTATTGTTTTGATTAACAAAAGGTTGATTAAATTCTTGATGAATTTCAGTTTTTTTCTAATTTTTATAATGTAACAACTCAAAATATTAAGGAATACGAAATTAAGTAAGCTGTTGATATGATTAACTATAAGGAATAGGAAGATTCTGGTAATCTAAATATTTTCCATCTTCTTTTAATATTTTTTTATTAGCTTCGATTAATTCAGCATAAGGGGAGCTAGGCTTTTTTCTCATAATAATTATTTATTATATTTGTAATTTAATAACAAAAAATATAATAGAGATTTATTTGATTTATTAATGCAATTATTATTGCTTAAAAGATCAATTCAAATCAATAGAGTACCTTTTTAGAGTTCAACAATTCAAAAAACAGATTTGTAAAATAATTGATATTAATTTTGAGATAACAAATAAATATGGATGTTTAATAAAATGAAAAACTTAGAATTATAATCATCAGCTTTAATCAAAATAGATCAAATAAAAGAAAAATAATGATTTTTTTAACTTTATGAAATAGTTTAAATAAGAAAATTTTGAAAGATTAAAGAATTTGTTATGATTAAATTATGATGAAGAAAAGGAATAGAACAAATAAAATAAGTTTCAATAATAAATTAAATAATAATTAGTAAGCAGAATAAATTAAAAAGAAAATTATCATTCTATAAAACATTTTAACAAAATAAAAGTGAATTAACAGAAGATTAGATTGAAAACGAAAAATGAATTTGTTATAAATCCATAGTAAATGAATAAGTTAATATTGGTTTTGGTATTATTAAGTGTAGTACAATCAGTTTTTGTAAAAAAATAAATTGATCCCACAAAGGCTGTTTTTACATAACTTGAAGCTATGGAAGAGCATGATTTAGGTAAATAACTTTTAAACACTATTGCCCTTTAACTAAACAATAGAGCCCCATTGTCAGATATTGCAAAGATGCTTTAATAATTGAGAGAAAATCTAATTTTAAATCAATAAGCGGCTGATTAAAAGCATGCTTAAGATGAAGTTGATTGTGAAACAGAAATTTACTAATATAATAGAAGAATAGATTATGCATCTGCAGAAATTACTGATTCTACAACAGAGATATCAACATTAACTTCAAAAGTTGAATAGCTTGCTTAAGATGTTGAAAATAAGAAGGTACAGCTTGATATTTTAAATGAATAAGAAACAACATTGACTGATTAAAGAGCTAATGATGCTGAAGATTTTATAAAATATGAGCATGAGACTGAAAATGTAATTGAAGCAATAGAAGTTATTTTTACAAAATTATCATCAATATAACCTGAATAAGAATTAGTTTAAATTTTAACATAATTAAATTAAATTGGTTCATCAAATCCAATTTTAGCATTAATGCAAGTGGCATCAACATTCTCTAAAGATTAATTAAATAATGTTTTAAATAAATTAAGTGAAGTAAGTTCCTCTTTAGAATAAAGTCTACATGATGCCAGACAATCTGAGATTTAAGCTTAATTAGATTATGAAAGATTGATGATTGAGATAGATAATCAAAGAGAATCATTATCATCAGCAAGAGAAGATTCTGAAAGATAATTAAAAGATAATGAATAAGCATTAGATCTATAAAAGAAGAGAAAAGAAGATGCAACTGATGAATTAAATGCTGCTACTACAGGAAAAGAATAAAAAGAAGCAGAATGTGATAATTGGAGAACTTAATATTCTGTTGATACTGAACATAGATAATAAGAAATTTCAATAATTAGATAGATTGAACAAATATTGGCAACTAAGTTGAAAAATGTCAGATTGTACTTATAAGAAAGATCTTCTGCATGATAGTATATTTATTCAAATTGAAATATTTTATTATCTCTATCAATTTAATTGAATTCATCTTTTGTTATACTTTTTTAGCAGGTATATAAAATATGTAATATTAATTGAATGTTTCTGATCGTTTGTATAATTTAAGTGCTAGTAAATGGAATAATTTAATTATAGTTTTTATAATGTTATTGATATACTATTAATTAAATGGATTAATAAAATGATGTCGTAACTTAGGATCACTAATAACCAAATGATGAATAACTTGATTTATCTACAATCGATAATGAACAAACAGAATAACCTATAATTGAAAATCCTCCAATAATTGATGACATTCCAGTAATCGATCCATTAATTGATTAAACTACAAATTAACCATCAAATTAAGATAATTAATCAGAATAGCCTAATCCTGCTCCAAATCCATTATATACTTATTCAATTTTGGCAAAAGAATTTATTTTGTTTAGTCTTCCATATTTATATTTTATATTTGCTGCTCTTTATAGGATTTATTAACTTTAATAATTTCAAACAACTACACTTTAAAGATAATCCATAAGATCGTAATTAAGCGACGAAGATATGTAATTATTTAACTAAAATTAATAAGTCTAAAAACTAATCCTCCATCTTTGAATATTAAAATAATGATTTCGTATTGGTTGTGTTTGGTGTGCACATTGTCAATGATATTAGGATTTTTTGGACTAATTATGACTATATCACCAAAATTGTATTTTATTTGGATGATACCAATCGTTGCTCATATTATTGCTGTAATATTGCTAAAATTAGAGTTCAAGGTTCAAGAATAATAGGCTACTTGGACTCACAGAGTACATGATTATGAACTATTATATAGATATTTTGGCCTTTATAAACTGCATTTCTAGTAGTTCGTACATCATAAGAATATCAAACTATTTTGAGCAGTGGATTAATTATATTATAATTGATTCCTTCACTCATTTTATTAATTTATGCCTTATATAGACCTAATGATCGAACAAGAATACCTGATGATACACCAAAATTTGCAAAATAATTAATGAAGTCATTAGAAGAATTCAGAATATTTTAATCTGAAAATAATACTGTTAGAGAATCTATGTTCAATAGAATTAAAACAAAAAAAGAAAATTCTATTATAACCAAATAAATATCATCTGCATTTTCTGATCTCATTTAAAGCAAGAATCAAAATGAATAAGAATAATTCTTAAGAGAAAAAATGCCAGAAAGAAGTGTCAGTGTAAGTAAGAAAGTTATCAAACGTTTTGTTAATGATAATGAAATACTGTATTCTTATTTGATTCTAACCATTATTGATGGGCATACTTTTTAATCAGAAAAACGTTACCCTGAATTCTTAAATATAGAAAGGGTATAAATTGATCATTTTAACAAATATAATGCAAGTTCATTTAAAATACATAGAATAGATTTATAATTAGGTGAAGATGAATTTTCTTATGTTTTAAGAAGAAGAGAATATTTAGAACGATGGTTGTAAGATTAATTAGCTAATCCTACCTATGTTACTAAAAACTTACTTGATTTCTTGGGAATTGATGAGGAAATGCAACAACCTTTTTTAATTTATTAGTAATTGATTTCTAAAACTAAATCGACAATACGATCTAAAAGTTATTAAAGAAGTTAAGAATATGAATTATAAGCTATTAGAGTAAATTCTGAAGAAAATTTAATTGCTTTAGATTATTCAGAACTTCAATTCACTTCCAATTGTATTCAGTATGAATATGGTATGTATGGATCTAATTCAATTGAATTTGTAATTAATATCAAATACAAAGAAAAGTAAAGCAATTTTTAATCAATTTAGAAACTCAGAATATGTTTATAGGATCTTGAAAACACTTTCATGTATAAGATAATTTAGTGAGTTACTCGAATAATAGGCTGGTCGAGCATTGCCACCTAATTTAAAAGTTACAAAATAAATTTTAAATCTAACTACAAATGAAAAAATAATATTTGTTGATGAATTTTTTAAAGAATTATTAGGAAATCAAGAATACTTTTCAAGTGATTTTTTTGATTTTATTGGATTTGATATTAATAATAGATGTCCAAAAGATTAAAGCTGATCAGTTTTTATTATTATTAAATTATTTATTATAATAATAGTACATAAGTAAATGAAAGATTCTTGAAATTATTATAATAATAACAATTTTCATGATTAAATTATATATAGATTGGATCTCATAGCCATCAAGAGCTGTAAAGGCAGTCTTAGATATTCTTAAAGTTCCTCATGAAGTGAAGGCTTTGAAGATTTAATTTGATGAGCATAAATCTCCTGATTTCACAGCTATTCATCCATTATAATAATGTAATGAAAGTTAAATATCTTTAGTGCCAGTATTACAAGATGGAGATTTTATTGTGGCAGAAAGTCACAATATTATGAGATACATCATAAAATAGAGAAATATATCAACTAATTTGTAAATTTCTAAAAAGTAATAAGATATCCACTCACAGACATAAGATAATAAACAAGAATAGATCAATATCTAGACTATCATCATACAAATACAAGAAGATGCTTACATCTGTACCATTCAGTCCTGATATCGCCAATAAAAGGGGAAAAGGTTTTTCCTGAAGTACTGGAAAAAGAAAGACAAGATGTAGCAAAAGTGTTTTCATATTTTGAAAACAGTAATTTTTTACAACATATAATAGACTGGCTAAAAGGCAAGAATTATATTTGTGGAGATTAAGTAACTTTAGCTGATATAAGTGCTTGTAGTGAAATGATGTAATTAGACATGATCAAATTCGATTTCTAAAAATATCCACTTACAAATGCTTGGCTTCACAGAGTGATAAGGATTCCTGAAGTTCATTAAGCTCATAATGTGGCATTCAAAATTATAAAGAAATAAAACCCTAGTTCTGATTTTGTGAAATGAATAAAAATAATAAATCAATATAGAAGTTTAAGTATTTCATATTGTTACATAAAAATAATTAAAGCTTATTATTGTATATTTTATCAAAAAATGGAGCAACAGCATTTTTCACTTTTTGAATTTTTTTCATCTTTTTGAAAATTGCTTGAAATATTTTGTAAGGTTTAATGTTATGACTTTTAGCCCTTAACTTTTATGGCTTTTTTAATAGCTTATTCGAAAATCTCTTTTAAACCATCTTACGTTAAAGCTGAGCATTCTAAATATTGAGATTATAATCTATCGATTTCTGATTTAGCCTAATATATTAATACAATTATATTTTACAGCTTCATATTAGATATGATTTGGTTTTCCTGGATTTCTCATATCTATTTTGTTTCCCACAAATATTTTAGGTACAGTCTTTAATTCTGGAGCTTCTAATTCAGGATACCATTTATTGATAGCATTTTCAAAACTTGATTCTTCAATAACAGAGAAAACAACTAGAAAGACATCAGCAGAATTATATGATAAAGTTCTCAATCTATTATATGTTTCTTATCCTGCAGTATCCCATAAACTCAAATTAATCATTTTGCCTTCAACAGCTGTTTGTGTGGTGTAATTTTCAAAAACTGTAGGAATGTAGTCTTAAGGAAATTTATCTGTAGTGTAGCTATGATATTTAATAGAAATACCTTAGGAGTATACAAGTCTTGCCAACATTTCCATCTCCGACAACAACAAGTTTGATTGTAATAGGATCTATTTCTGACATCACAAAAAAATAATTTATTTAATTATTGGAAGTAGAAAGAATAGTTTAATGTAATTTAATAATGAATTGATTTCCTTTTATTGAATGAATAATATCAAAATGCTCCTTTGAGTTAAGATTTAACATAATCTGTAAATCTTGGTTGATTCAATAAATCTAATGCTTAATGGGCAGCATTTAATTCTTTGTTGTATTCAGCAACGGTGGCATTATAGACATCAGTACAGAAAGCATAATCATCATTTTCTGCTTATAATTATCCATTCAAAGTGTCTAAATCAGCATGTAATTCATCAATTAAATCAAGGGTTTAGTCAATCTTGTCTATAAATTATTATTATTAATAATTTACTAGCATTAGCTTCAATTTCAGCTGTCTTAACTATAACAGCTCTTTAGAATTCAGCATGTTCTTAGTTCAATTAAATGACTCTAGCCTCAAAGTCTTTTTAAGCTTCAGCTTCATCAGCTGTAAGTTAATTTAAAGAATCAACTAATTAGACTCTCAAATTGTTGAAGGCAGTCAAAATCTATGAAGAGAATTATATTATAAATATATACTTCTTTAAGAGCACCTTAATCAGCAAAGTTAGCTTCAACAGCAATTTCCAAAAGTGTCTTAATAAAGGTTTAGAATGTGCTATGTCTTTTAAGTGATTATTAGATTTTTGTTAAATTCTTTTAAACCTTTTAGATTTAGACAAGGGATGGTGATTCCAATTAGCTAAGTAATTATAATGATTCATCAATAGCACTGATAGCTTCATTATGTTCAGCAACTTTGGCTTCAAATTCAGCATGATCATTAGCTCTTTGAACTGTTGCCTCATTAAGGGTCTTTCTGTTTTAGGCAATGTTTTCTTATAATTATTCAAGTTAAGCAGCAAATCTATCTCTTTATGGGATCAAAACGTTATCATAGAAATCATGGGCATTGAAGACCTCTAAAAGGAATCTTTAAATTAAATTAAATACCTCTTTCTTTGTCTTAGATTTCTTATGAAAGTCTATTTACTTCTCTGTTGTGAACATCTGTTCTTCTTGCATATTAATGATGGACTTCTGCTAATTCTTCATCCAATTCATCAATCTAAACAATATTATTAAAATATTAATTACAAGTTTAGCAATTTCAGTGTTTAATTCTGCAAGGATACCTCCTGTTGTTAAATGGAGTTCACCAAAGTTCAAAATGAAATTACCCCAACCAGATTATTTAATTTAAGCAAAAGCTTTTTGGTCATGGCTTGTCCAAACTGAGTTTGTGACATCTATTGCTGTTACGCTAAGGATAAGCAATGTGCAGACTGCTAATTTATACATATATTTTTAATTAATAATGAAGCCAACACCAGATAATTAAGTGTTAAAAATTCCAAAAACGAATTTTATTTTTTATATATATATAATTAATTAATTATATCATACTAATAAACCATCCCATCATTAATAAATATTAATATAATTAAAATATATATATATATAAAGTCAGAGAAGATGTATCTTTTCGATTAAAAGACTTTAGTTGTACTAGTTTATGTACATAATGCTCTGTAGATTTTTATTGAGACCAATCTCTTTCGCTTATGTTTTTTTGACTTCTGAGAACTAATTAACTTATAATTAACCAGCATTACCAATCCAATTAATTCAAGTCCATTATTGTTGATATAACTACCTATTCCCATTATCAAACCCTTCTAAAATGATCCTCTATAATAACTTCCATCACTCCAATAAAAGATTCCATCACCTGAAAATTTGTTATTTTCAAATGATCCTTCATACCTACAATTAGATATAAGACAATTAAAACTTGCATCCATCTGGGAACATTTGAATTCCTTTGCCTTATTTCTTGCCGTTATAAAACTATCCATAAAATATTGTTCCATCGGCTTTAATTTCCTATCCTTCACCTTCTAATTAATTGTTAATCCAAATTCCTAAAATAAATATTATTGTATTACCTTTAACTATTTTTTTATCTGATTTAAATATACCAAAACCATTTGTACACCCATTTTAGAACTGAGCTTCAAAACTATTTTATTAATAAATAATTTACATGTCTCCATTTTTATAATGCATTGTACAAAATCCTTCAAGCAAATCATGTTACCATGTACTTTAAAAATATATTAATTGCTTATTACCCAATTAATAAATTTCCAGACTAAGGCCAAACTTAAATACCATTCCCATGTTTGAGTTCTAATATTAATGTACCAAAGTAAACACTTTCATCATTTTATTTAGAAAGCTAAAAGTTTGAGTTAGGTTTGAAAAATTCTAATTTTTATTTAATGTGCGCTGGCAATTGCCATATATAGTCAATTAATCGAGGATCTAAAACTGGACTACTCTATTTGGGATTGTCATCATCAGCTAATTTTAGATGAAGATACTAATACTTTCACTTAATGAGATAGATGCAAACTTATGAATGAAATATTCTTATGATATCTATTAATTCATTTATATTTAATTATTTAGATATAATTATTAATGGAAAAAGTTAAAACCTACCCTTAATTAATTTAATTAAAATAAGAATACGAAGGAAATGTCACTTTAAAGGGTTTTTGAGAAATTACTATATTGGGATGTATACTTATCAGCAATTATTCATGGTCATGAAAGTTTAATGTTGACAGTGATGCTTTTTTTACCAGCTTTGATTTATTCACCAAATACAATTGCTGCTCCAATACTCTTCATTACTTATTAATATGGCTATGCTTATTCTATAAAATATGTGATTTCAATAGTAATGTCATTACTTTTGACTACTTTTTTTAAGAAACATTTCCAAAGACCTAGACCAAAGCCTCGTCCACAATTATAGCTTAAAACTATGTATTTTAGAAATAAAGAAACTAATTATTCATTACCAAGTGGAGATTGTGCTTAAGCTGCAACCTTTCTCTTTTATTTTCTTTAAGCTTATGGCAATGGTATTTTGGTTTTTCAATCTACTTAGGAGACATTGTTGTTATTCTGATTGCTATTTTAATGACTCTAAACGTTATGCTTGGTAGAGTCTATTTCTGTTGCCATTATTTTAGTGATTGTCATCTTGGTTTTGGCATAGGAATCACAAGTGCCTTCCTGGTTAACTTTTTATTATAATGACACATTGTCTATTTTATATTTCAAGTATATCCAATTAATAATATATATATTTATATATATGAATATTGTCGAATACAGAAAACATCGCAATGAAAATCAAATTAGAACATGTTGTTGTAAAAGAAGAGCACCTTGGGAATTGTAACCTGATAGAAAAGTATAATTATTGTTAAATTTTAAGATTCTTATTGGTACTGCTGATAAAAATATTCCCAATAATAGAGTAGAAACTTCTAAATATAATATGCTTACATTCTTACCTAAAAATTCATTAGAATAATTTAGAAAAGCATCCAATTTGTATTTCTTACTTTTAGGCATTTTGTAATCATTTTGAATTCAATTTAGTCAAATTCTACCACCAGTCACTACGACAGATGGATAACCCACTGTATATTTACCTTTATCTTTCATCATTATGGTCAGTATGATTAAAGACTTTTTTGAAGACTTCAAAAGGTAATTCAATCATCACCATTAGACACCGAGCAGATGATGAAGAAAATAATCGAACTGTATAAAAATACTCTCTTCGAACAGGAGTTTTCGAATATGAAAAATGGCAAAATGTTTATGTTGGAGATATTATTAGAATTGCTAATAAATAGGTTTGATTTTAACTTAAGAGTAGAGAATTCCTGCTGATATTATTATATTAGCAACCTCTAAGGGTGGTGAATGTTTTGTAGAAACTAAAAATCTAGACGGTGAAACTAATCTTAAACCTAAATATGCACATCCACAATTGTAATCCTTATATAAATAATTGAATGAGAAAGAATTACCTTATAATTTGTAACATTTTCAATAAATACAATTAGATTTGTTACAATGGATTTTGAACGACAAAATCCACTTATGTATAAATTTAAGGGTAGTTTTAATATTGTTAATGAAAATAAAGAATAACCAAAAGAAGCATTAAATTATGAAAACTTTTTAGAAAGAGGATGCTCTCTATAAAATACTGATTGGATTTTAGCAGTTACTGTATATACAGGTCATGATACAAAGATTATGATGAATTCTATTATTGGAAAAATGAAATATAGTACTGTTGAGAGATTGATGAGCAAATAAATTTTATGGGTATTCTTATTTTTATTGTTTGAATGTATTTTTGCATCCACATATTACAATGTCTGGTACTAAAGAAATGTAAATGAATTATAATCTTATCTAAATATAGATAAAAATGCTCCAGAGAACAATTCTTTTTACAATTTTGTTTTAAGATTTGCAATGTGGTTTTTATTGCTTGGCAATAGTGTTCCAATATCTTTATTGGTAACTTTAGAGACAGTAAAATTCTTTTAAGCATAAATGATTTAATGGGATAAGAATTATCTAACATTTGATAGAGCTGCTGCTGTTCATTCTTCAAATTTAAGTGAGGAGTTAGGAGTAATTGAATATATATTCAGTGATAAAACAGGAACATTGACATAAAATATAATGAAATTTAAATCTTTAATTATTGATGATATAGTTTATGGGGATATATAGGAATAAGCATACTAATAAGAAATTATAGATGAAAAACCATTTAAAGAAAAATAAAGAATTGTTTCTTAAAATGTGGATTTTACAGATGATGAATTATATTCTGAATTGATTTCTCAATTCATAAATAAAAAGTCTGCAAAACATTTTTCAAATAATGATCATATATTTTTAAGTCTATTATGTTTATCATTATGTCATACTATATAAACAGAATTAGTAGAAAATATTGAATCTGATATTTAATATAATGCAAGTTCTCCAGATGAATTGGCATTAGTGAGTTTTGCAGCAGAGATGGGTTTTAAATATATTGGTAAAGAAGAAAATGTAATGAAAGTTTATATAAAACACAGTAAGGAAATCTTAAAGTTTTAAATTTAATAAATTATTGAATTTAATAGTACAAGAAAGAGAATGTCAATAGTATTAAAAGATAAGAATGGTAGATTGATACTGTTTTGTAAAGGAGCAGATAATGTGATTTTATCAATGTTATAAGACTTTGATGAAAACGATACTATTTAAAAAAATATTCTATTTGAGATAAAAAAGTAATTGCAAGAATATGCTACAATAGGATTAAGAACTTTAGTATTAGGATACAAGGAATTGGAATAAAAAGAATATGAAAAGTTTTTATCTGAATATAACAGAGCATAAGCTATATTGGACGATGATTAATTAAGAGAATCTTTAATGAATTAATTGGAAGAAATGATAGAAAATAATTTAAAATTATTATGTGCAACAGCTATAGAAGATAAATTATAAGATAAAGTAGGAGAAGTAATAGCTGATTTGAAATCTGCTGGAATAAATGTTTGGGTATTAACAGGAGATAAGATAGAAACAGCAATTAATATTGGTTTTTCATGTAAATTGTTAACAGATTAAGTGAAAAGATTTATAATAGATGGAGATGTAGAGGGATAGGTAGAAAGATAATTGGGAAAGGTAACAAATTATATTAATGATCATCCTGAAGAACCTTTATCATTAATAGTATCAGGAGTAGCACTTGTTATAATAATTCATAATTTCAAAGAAGCATTCTTCAAGGTTGCTTTGAAAGCAAATGCTGTAATGGCTTGTAGAGTGTCTCCAAAGTAAAAATAAGAAATTGTAAATTTGGTTCGAAGATTGACAGGTAAAATAACATTAGCAATCGGAGATGGTGCAAATGATGTAGCTATGATTACATAAGCACATGTTGGTGTAGGTATTAGAGGTTTAGAAGGATAATAAGCAGCAAAAGCTAGTGATTATGCAATTGGAGAATTTAAACATTTAAGAAGATTATTATTTTATTCTGGACATGAATCATATAGGAAGAATAGCAATTTAATTCTATTTAACTTTTACAAGAATCAATTGTATATTGGAGCTTTCTTTTTTTTTGGTTTTTCTAATGGTTTTAGTGGTCAGAATCTTTATGATTAATGGTTGTCTTAAATCTTTAATGTATTTTTTACGAGCTTACCAATTATTTTATACGCTCTTTTTGATGAAAAATATCCAAACTCAAATTATATGCAATTAGTTTAAGATAAAGCTAATTTCTTAGAATCTAGACCTGATATATATAGAGAATATTTATCAAAACCTATATTCAATTTAGTATCTTTTTGGAGATAGTTCCTTTTGGGATTATTATAGGCAATACTGTTAATGGTAATTTCATTCTATGCATTTGAACCTATTTCACCACATAATTAAGGATAAAATTCTACATATTTAGAAGCTGGAATGACAATCATGAGTGCTGTTGTTATTATAGTCAATTTAAAAGTATTGCTTATGCATAATACAGTAATTATTATATATAATACATTTCTAGAATTATCCAATCATAATTTATATCAATCTTGGATCAACAATATGTTTTATATTATTTTTTTTACTTTTCTCACAATACCCATTTTTTGAAAGCTTTGATCTCTTCCAACGTTTATTTGAATGTTTTAATTACTATATGGCTATGATTTTGATGTTAATAGTTACTAACTTCTTTGATTTAGCTAGGTTAAGATACAATTACTTTGTTGAATAATATAAAGAGCATTAGTCAAACAATCCACCAACTTAATTAGAAATTGAAATGTGATATGTATAATAATTATAATTTAATGGACGATCATCAAAATAGTGATTCTAGTAGTGATGAATTATATCAATAAATTAAAGCATAAGTATCAAAACATTTCTAAATAAAGCTTAATCAAATGGAAGATGAAGAAAAGAGTTCAAGAATTCTGAGCAAACATGAAATTATTCCCAAAGTTTAATTTACACCCCCAGAATCCAGAGAATAAAGAGAAATCAATTTTAATTACAAACATTCAAATCAAACTAAATTGATTGGGAAAGTTGAAGCAATCACTAAAGAAAATATCATTATTTATTCCAATCTATTAGAATTTGTTATCAATCTAGATTAACTATTAATTAATTATAAATAAGAGATCTTAGGAAAAGTTGATGATGTTTTTGGCAAAGTCGAAAGACCTCATTATTCAATTCTTTTGGATGGATATGTTAATAATCTAATTCTAACTAATTAATTATAAATTGGTGATGATGTATACATTAATACAGAAAACACTTCTATTCTTAATTCAGAAGCTATTAGATAATTACTTAAGTAAATTCTTATTTTATGCTAAGCAAAAAAGGGTGTGATGCTTCCAATCAATTTGATGAAGAAATACTGAACGATTAAGATGTCCAATTTTCTGATGATGAAATCGAAGCTATGTCTAAAAGAAAAGGAAATAAAGTAGAAGGAGAAATCAAAAAAAATAATAAAAAAAAACAATAATCTCATTAATAATTTAATCAAGAAAAATAAACTCTAAATACTTATTAGAATGATAAAATCTAACTTACTGATCAATAATAATAATAACAAAATCAGTAAATGATATCATCAATGTAATAATAGCAATAATAGCAATATTATCAATAAATATTTTAATTATAATAGAAATAATTAATGTAATAGCAATAATAATATTAATAAATGATACAAAATTCAGAATCTTTCCCATAGCAATAATTTTAGCCTCCTTAATATGTAGATTAATCATATCCCTAACCTTCTTAAATAACTCAAAACCCTCATATCAATTTACTTTACAACTAATCATTAATTAATTAATAGTTAGATTAGAATATGAATTCTCTTTTTTAAAATATAAAACCCTAAAACTAATGAATTAATATTGTATATTTTTTGAATTTTTAATCATTCAATTATAAAATCTGCAAAAAATATATTTAAATATATATAAATCTTTATATATAAATATATATGCAAATATTAATTCATTTCTCAAAGTATGCTCTTAAGAGATATTCAGTAGTTTATTAGACCGATTTATTTGTATCATAAACAAACCTTTCTAAAATGTCCTTAAAAGTAGAAAAATGATTTTAAAAATATCTTTAATATTTTTCCATCTCTGTACTTTAAAATAATGAAAGGGCTATGCAATTTAGAGTTGCATAATTAATAGTTGTAGATATATCTTATCTTAGAATATCAAAAAGCATTTCAATTATTTGATATTCATCCATTAATAATAGAAAATGTTATCGTTTGCGAAGAATTATTTCTAAGAGTTTCAAAATTTCTATTTATCCATCTACAAATGTAATTTTAAGTAATTTAATCAGATCGTCACTAATAAATTGAAAAAAATTGTCATTTTCTTCAAAAATCATTTACATTATTTTAGTAGATCGAACCATAGTTTTTTAGTGTCTATAAAGGTTACTTTAAAGTGCAAACATTAATTCCAAAGTAACAATTTAATCATAGTAAATTTTAGAAATTGCATGCTAAACTAAATAGTTTATTGCTAATAATAATTAATCACAACAAAAAACATCAGAATTTGGTTACTTTAGAAAATGTAACAAGCATTTCCAAGGTTTTCTATCTTCTGAATTAGCAGAATTAAAGGCTTCCCAATAGAATTAGTTAGCTTATGGATATTTTTAAATTAAGTGGGGAAGTATTCGAATTTGCATCTAAGTAGTGCTATTTCTGCATTAGATCAACTCTTCACAACATATTAAAAATATTTGTTTCAGAAATGGAAAAGGGGTATGGGCTGAATTCGAAAGAATTAGCATAAACTCCCAATAAAGCTTTCTATGTTCTTCAAATAAATTGCCACTAATTATGTTTAAATATTAAGTTAATCTCTCTTTTTAAATCTAATCAGAGAAAATATGTTTAACTACTGTCGGTTCAACACACAAATTGCACATTAAGTTCAAACACAAATTAAGGTCTAAATCATTTTGTTAGAGTGTTTTATAAATATTATGATCTATTATATAAACACTGTATTTAGAGCTTAATTGCTATACTAATAATATGAGTTTTTCTATGTTTTAATTGTCTGGGTTTTGAAGAATTAACTGAATTTGATTTTCTATTTGATCTTTGTATTTAAGTTCAAAATCAATTAAATTGTTACATTCATATATATCCTGAATTAGATTGCTTTTTTCAAATCTTTTCTTACTAAATTCTTTTTCTAGATTTTACTTACGGATTTCTGTTCTAAATTATTCTCTTCTTTTGACAATTATTTCACTCATTAATAATAAAATTCTTATTAAAATCACTTAAAAAAACAAGAAATACTCAATTATAATATTACAATTAATTAAATTATCTAGATAATAAAATTAAGACAATATTCTGTAAAATTTTGATGCTCTTAAAAAATAAAAAATTTTTGGAGCTATTTTAAGATATATATATTAAAAAAGTTAAAAAATATAGTGATTCTAAAATCTAATAATGAATAGAAAGTCCATTCAATAAATTGTTTTCTATTATTGAAATAATAAATATATAGACTAATTAATACAATATTTTAATTTTTAAAATACATAAGGAATGTAGTATGAAATCAAAATAGTGGGTTTTGAGACTACAACAGATAATGTTTTATATAAAATGCGAATAATCGATCTTATGACACTTGATTAGAGAGATATTCGAGTCAGATATAGTCTTTTGCTTGAACTTCATAATGCTATGCAAGAATACAATATGAATTATTAAGTATTTCTTAATTAAACTTAGCTTCCTCAATTTCCAAAAAAGAAATTAATAAAGACTTTTATAAGTGAGAATAAAGTGATTAAATAACGGGAGTAAATGATAGGGGAATATTTCCAATAATTACTTAAATAACCTCCTCCTAATAATAAATTATTACTTGATTTTCTAAAAGAAGGAGTTGATAATATAAGACAATAAGAATTATAAAGAGAGGTAAATTCAAAATCTGACTTTATGAAACATCTCAAAGAAGAAAGATTACTAAAGAAATCAATATTTGGAAAAACAACTTTATATAGCAATAATAATGGTAAGAAAATAATTTTACATAAATTTTATGTCATGTAGAATCATAGTGATTAACTCTTTTAGTCATATTTAAAAACTCATTTAAATATTTTAGACTTTACATTTTTTACATAGGTTAATTCAATATTCTATATACGACCTAAAGCGAATTTTGTAGATAATATGTTTGGTTCAGTTAAATAACCAAAAACAAGTAAAAAATCTCACATCTTCGGGGATATCTATCCTTCATTTTCAAGAGGAGAACCTCCTGTAAAGATTTTTTCTTTTGAAGAATTTGAAGGATAAAATTTAGATGATGTGATTAAAGATCGAAAAAATAAAAATAAACCATTTAATTTAGAGGAACTTTTAAATATTATATAAAAAATCTTGTAAGCATTAACATAATTACATAAACGTAATATATTTCCAAATAGAATTTTACCCACATCAATATTTATCAATAATGATAGTGTTAAATTAGGAGGGATACAAGAACCTAATCAAAAATATAAAGAAAAATATTTGTTAGAAGGAAATGCTGTCAGAACAGAATAAGAATATGATATTGTTTATTATCCTCCTGAGAAATTTAGTTAATCATTTTCATAATAATAATTAAATGGAAAATTGATAGATAGTTGGCATTTTGGAGTTTGTATTTTGAAGGCAGCTTTATTGTGTTCAAATAAAGAATTGGAGGGAATTCATTAATGTAATTAAATAGATAAGTTTGCAAATTAAGTTTAACTTAAATATGGGTATTTTAATGCTTGTAATATAGATAAGTGATGTCATAGCAGAAATAATTATGTTGAGTCTTAAATAGTTTCCTCATTAACGAGCAGATATTAATGAACTCCAATTTTTGGCTAATTAGACTGCTATCATTAAATTTTAATCAAATATCTTAAATTAATTAGAAAAATAATAAATGACTTATTTGACTATTAATAAAATCACATAAGAGTAATTATAAAGTACTCTTGAGTTAATTTAGAAATCTCCAATTTTAACAGTCAAAATCAATCTATATAATTAATAGATAGATTAAGAAATATTTGATAAATTATTATAATTGTTGGGTGATTTTGCTGAAGTAAAGAATATTACAATTATATTAAATAAGTAAAAAATAGATTTAAAATGATTAGAACATAAAATGTAAATATTAGCAGGTTTTGTGTTGGCCTATAAAAACTGAAATAAGTAAAACGTATTTCTATAGATTTGAAGGGAATAAAAATATCTGAAGAAGAAATTAAACAAATAATTTTTTTATTCAATTAATTAAATTTTATTGAAAGATTTGTTTTGGATTGTTCTTCAATAGAGTTTATTGAAATTTTAAAATCAGAATTGAAATTAAAGAGTAAAATAGCTTTATATTTTGAATCATAATTAATTTGATTATTTTCATAACTAATCAGCATTTTATTTAGTGGCATTTATTAATTATTTTCTATTTTTGATCGAATTCAACATTTGACTAGCTTATCTCATTTAATCCATTATACTGCCCATCTTAAAATTTATAAATAAATAATACATCAGTAGTAATGCGTTCTATTTTTTTAGATTCATCTTCTTCATCTTATTTAAGATCTTATAATTCTCTAGCTTTATTAAATGGGAACCAAGTTAAATCTTTTCTTTATATTTTTTCCCACACAAATTATTCTATTCCAGTATAATCAGTTGGATCTTTATATCTAAGATATGCCATAAAGAAAACATAATTCCACATATAATGATTAACTTTAATATGATGATCAAACCCACCTCCCATCGATGATGTGTCTGATAATCTATCAAAAATTGTTTTAAGATTTCCACAAATAAAACATTTATCTTCAATATCTCTAATCTTATCACTTTCTTCTTCTCTTAAAGATCCAAAAGTATCAATAATAATTCCTGCCACAATATTAACCATAATGATAACTAAGAAAATATTTGAAGTGTTATCAAATACAAATCTACCAACACGATATTTATCAACAACATTTTCATCTTCTAAATCTGATAGATACCCTCCTACTCCACCATTAGCTTTAAAAGTCCAATCAAATGTGAATAAAAAACAAAATAATGTAGATTAACATTTTCCTTTATAATCTTCAAAAAAGAATGTATATGCTATAAGTCCATAAACATATACAAGAATTACAAAAAGAACTAATGTTAATGCTAATTATTATTTAGGTTCCCAAACAGATCTAATGACATTTTTTAAAGTAGGATAACGAATCAAAATCTCGGTTAAATGAAAACTAAAGAAGAAAGGATGTAATACTGTTCCTATAACAGCTAATGCACCATAAGCTAAATAATAAACAACTTCTATTTCTTTAAGTATGTAAAATAGCACAGCTAACAATTTAAATAATTTATAAATTAATTAGATTGGCCAATATGTAAATTTATCTTCAAAAGGCAATTTTGTTTTCCAAGCCTTTTTTATTATTAATGGAGCATTCTTAAATAAAAAAAAAGCTACCACAAATATAGAACAACAAGCCATAATTGTACCACAAATCAAAAAAATATTTCTTGTTTGTTGTGGTGAATATTATTCATCTCTAAATAATCTGAAATCAGTTATTCTATTTCCTTCTTCATTTTAAGCAAATGATCCTATGATAAATAAATTCAATAATAATGTAAATAAAAATGCCAAATCTTTCCATAATTTCACATAATTAGCAAATAAAGCTAAAAACTTTTATCTTTAGAAAATTCTTCTTAATTATTCTTCATGTTCACAAATTTCTATTAATCTTTCTGATTCTTAAACTAAAAATTAAACTTTTGATTTTGTAGATGATCTATCTACATTTTCATGAAATTCTAATTTTTATTCTTTAGGTAAATTATGTGTATAAGGTAAAAGAATGAAATAAACAATTTCAATTTCATTATTTCTAATTACTTCAATAGATGCACTATTCTTATAAAAAAAATCAAAGGCCTTTTTTACTAATTTAATTTTTTCAGCTTTTTTTTCTCTTTCTTATTTATCTAATTATTCTTAAGTCAAAGTTTAACCAGCCATCTATTTTTAGGCTTCTTTTTTAATTTAATTCATTAAATCAATCCAACTATTTGCAAAAGACATTACAAAACTGACTAGTTGTCCTACAATATTATCTCCAAATAATAGATCTTCTAATGTTCCTTTATCCTATTTTAATTTTTTTCTTGTATTACCTCTATACATTTAAACAAATTAATTTTCAACATTCCTTTCAGATTCCATGTAATAGCACATTAAAAAATATATATAAAAACCTTTTTATAGAATTAATTCGTAATATTTTTCTTCTTTTACTTTTTCATCTTATTTAACAGATTCTGGATCTTCTTTTATTCTATCTAATACTTCTATCTAATAACCTTCTTTACATTATTTTTCATATTTATCAAAACATTTGACCATATGTTTTTATAATAAACTTGGTGTTAAGTGTCTCATAATTCTTTTAATAATTGGATTTGAATCTGATATTTCTCTCATTTCAATTAGAGACAATATTAAAATTAAACATTTTGTTTACATTCTTTCAATTTACCAAACTTTTAACTCTGATCCTTTTTATTGTTTTTAATATCTCGAAGTTTTGAATGTCATCATTTTACTACTCTATGTTTTTGAAGTTTTAATATTCGATGCCATAGTTTAAGCTTTATTTGCATTATCTTTATCTTTTCTTTAACCAAATAAATCTGAGGCTATTTCAAAGAATTTAGAATCTGCAACTGCTATTTAATTTTCAGGACAAGGGCCTTAAACTAATTCATTCAAAGTATCTAAACATAAAACCATATTTTCATATTATGCTTTATCTTTATAATAATATGTTAATAGTAATTCCGCTACTTAATTTATCATATTATATGAATTCCTAGAATTTGTTTGTTAACGAATATAATTCTGTAAATCCAAATAATGACCCTCACAACAGTTTTGTAAGAATTTTAAAACTTGAGTTAATAATAATTCTAATTCTTATTATTATTTTAATTCTTATATATTATTATCTTCTGATTATTAGAGTGGATTCATTAATTGTTGCTATTACTCTTCAGCCTTTTTATCTTTGGCTTTCATAGTAATTTATTTTATTTAAGCTTGAATAACATTATTTAATCTACTAAAAATAACTTCACTTTTTGGATAAGTTTTCATGAATTCAAAAATAGTTCTTTAAACTTTATTATTGCCACCTGATAAGAGAGAATTTATAAACAATAAGAAATTTCGTAGCATTTCACTATCAAGATTAATTGATTCACTTAAGACTGTTAATACCATTCTAGTAGCTCCTAATTTATTAAATAAATTTTGCATTTCTTCTATTTCATCATTTTCTCCCTCAGCTTCAACTTCTTCTTTTTATTCTTCTTTTGGTTTTCCTTCTATTACTTTCCTCAAAACTCCTAAAAGGGTTATAATAGATTTATTATTTTAATTATTATTGATTGAATAACTTAGAAACTTAATAAATTTTTTCAAAAGTAAGGTATATTCAACTTTTAATATTTTCTCATTTTTATCACTTGGATTTCCAAAATACTATTCAAATTTAACGATTGCTTCTGATAATTTTTACATTTCTTCTTAAACATGAGTTTTACTCTTCTCACTTAAACATAAATGATTAATAAATTCTTCCCAAGCATATGATATTTTTTCAATTTCCTCTTTCTCAGCTTCAACTTCAATTATAGATTCTTCTTTTTATTTTTTATTAGAAGAAAGAGCTTACATAATTCCTATCTTAGATTTAACATTATTGCTTTAAAATATAGTTTTTGGTGTATGATGATCTCCTGTATTTTATTAAACCCCATTTTATTCTTAAATCATTTATTCATTTAGATCTACTTAATAATTGTCATTAGCTCCAGCTTGAATATTTGATAATACATCCCTAAGGTTATTATAATCTCCAAGATCTTCTATCTATTTTTATTAACCTTAAACAGATGCACAACATTTACCCATTATAGTTTATGGAAAATATTTAAAAAATTCGTTCAAACTTAAAACATGTCTTTTTCTTGTTATATACTTTCCAAAATTTAATATTTTAGATGAGAGAATTTTAGCAAATTGTTATAATGCTACAATATCTTTTTATTCTTAATCATTTCCATCTTCATCATCTTCCAAATGAACTTATATATTTTTTCTAACCAAATATGTTGTGAATAATGGTAAAACTGCATCAATTAAAAAATCAAAATATTTTAACAAAGATCCATCAAATTAAATATGTTCTAATCTTTTCATTTCAAATTCTATAATCTTAATTAGGTCATTTTAAATCTCTTTTCCAACATTATGACTTTTCTCACTAATAATATGTACATGCATAAAAAAAATCCATAACTATTTTTTTATTAATCCAAATCCTTACTCTTATATAGATGGATTTCTATTTGTAAAAGAATCTGTTTTACATAACAATTACATTATATATTAAGCTGTAAATTTCTTTTTTAATTTAGCTATATTTATTGTAAAATTATCCTTTTAATCGCCTTCTATAACTTAAATTTGAGTGCATTATAATAATAAATCTAATAACTTTGCATGATAAAGAAATGGTTAATTAATTGGTGGACTATATGCCAAATCTGATAATAAATCTGAATGTTGCAATTAAATATCACCCTCAAATACAAATTAATCCTTCTCTGTAAATAATAACTCTTCTTTTTCTAGAAAAGTATTTAATACAAGTAATTAGTTGTCAAAAATGTATTTACTTCCTTACTTTATTATTGTCATGAAAAACTCTAAGAATTATGCTTTTCTTCCGCTTTGATAAATTAATTCTACAAATTTATGGAAAACTCTGTCATTTCTATTTATTGATGTTAAAAGTTTTTGATTATCTTTATATATTTCACAAATCAAAGGAATCTATCCTACTTCTAAATGCATGTTTTCAAAATAACCAATATTATTAGATAATAGGATTTAATTTTCAAAGTTATTTTTGCAGAAGTTTGTTAAAAATTAAAATGCATAAATAAACAATTAAGCTAATCTTTATTTTTTTGAAAGATCTTTTAAATTTTCAAGATGAAAGTCCAAAGATTATAATTGATCTCTAATTAAATTTAAAATAGGAACATAGACTTTTAATGCATTCATTAAATTTTGCTTTTCTCCATCTATATCTTAAGTTCCTGAAATTATTTTTGAAGATATTTAAGTATCTTTAAAAAATCCCTATCTAAAATTATCAATTATTTCTAAAGTTTCCTCTAAATCATTTTTTTTATTATTTTTGATATATTCAGCAAGCCATACTTCAGATCTATCAACTAATTGATTTAATCTTTAAACTTTTTCACTCAGAAATTCATATAATTTGCTTTTTAATGGATCGCTTACA